AGGAAGAGGAAGAGGAAGAAGAAGAAGAAGAAGAAGAAGAAGAAGAAGAAGAAGAAGAAGAAGAAGAAGAAGAAGAAGAAGGAAGACAAGGAAAAGAGAGAGAGAGCCACTAGTCAGACAGCTAGTTCCTTGTGCCCTTTGCACAGTGATGAGGCAGCTGGGGCCTGTTGTAATCCTCAGGCAACTCGGGCCCTTGCCAGCCAGTTGTTCAACATCACCACTAATCAAGACAGCAGAAACACCCTTGAGGTTGTACGCTGTTCTTAGCATTGGATTTCTATGCTAGAATGTTCCGCCCAAGACTGCAAATACTTGCATACATACCAGACCTCACCCCCTAATTTTTGGCTCTGAGAAAGAAAAAAAAAAAAAAGATGCTCCAGTGAAACTTGAGTTACAGTCAAGAATGATTACAGAGGGACTGGGAAAACTTTCCTCCTCTCTCCAAGTTGCTGTATAGATTTTCTATAGTGTCCACAACCAGGACGAGAGTACTATTAGATATGATCTCCTTTTCTGAGGTTGAGAAAGAGAGATTGAGTGATTTGCCTGAGGTCATCCAATCAGGGGAGCTGGGATTTGAACCCATATCTACTTGGGTCCTCCTTACCCCTCCACCCTGTTGCTTTTCACAGCAGCTGTTACCTTGGACAGCACATCTTCCCCTCAGGGACCTTGACAAGTTTCCACGATTCCTGTATCCTACCCAGTGCCTGAGTTCCCAGGGAAACTCATTTTCCTCTTTAGGGTACTATAGGCATAATACCTTGGACCTGAGAAATTTCTTCTGTCCTAAAACCATATATTAAAATCCTCAGAAGATTTATTGGCTCCAAATTTTTAAAAGCAAACTGCAACATTAAAATGAATATTTAATAAACTAGCTATAGTGAGACTCATATCTACTAATCCGACTGTAATTAAATTTAGCTCTTACTAGTTATAAGTAGCTAGGGTAGAATAAAGATTTTCAAAAACACAGTAAGCCATATTTTTTCCCTCAACAACATTTAAAATTGTAATAATCCTTTGATTTTTTTAAGCAACAGGAAATGAATACCTGTGTAGAAATAAGATGCATTTTTATGCATCTGACAAGACCTCCCAACATCTTAGAAAGATATTGGGATGACATGATGAACCAGGAGAAGGACAGGAGAGACCTGTCCTCAGCTCCCAGCGGTTCTGAGACCACAGCAGCGAAGGCTTGCAATTGCCAGCCTTGCCCAGGCAATGGGGCCTCCCTGGACTTCGGTAACCCTAGTTTTAAACAAAGGCCTGAGGGACGCCTGCCCAGTAGGCTGAGCCACCAAAGCTCTGGGGATCAGGGGAAACAAAAGGAGAGGGAAAGCAGAATGCTGACAAGGACTTCGGCCATCAGTCACAGGGCTATAAAGAGGGGCACTGCAGAGGAAGTGGCACCAGATGGAGACCCAGACTGTGCAGCGGGAGCTGGGTGAGTAAGGCCCTGAGGGTGCCCTTGCCTTTGCCCTTCTCTCCCTCCCCTGAACAGACATACCGGAGAGAGCCCAGTTTTCCTGCCCAGAGGTCAGAGTCTTTGAGGTTAGCTGGAGAGGAGTGGGGGATTCTGGGTGAGGGCCTTCTTCTTCTGCCACCCAACAGCAGTCACTGATATGGCAATAACCACTACCCTAGAAACCATGACGGGCACAAGGGACAGCAAGAAATGAGCAGGCTCCTGGGCACAGGGAGAAGGTCTATCAGGCAGGAGCTGGGAGATGTTGCTCATTCAGTGGTTCAGAATATAAAGGAATATCAGAGTTTACATGCATTATTTCCTGGACCCCATGCTGCCAGAGGGAAGGGTCACAAATGATTGTTCTGAGTCAGGAAATCTGCTGCACACCTGCCTGTCTTCTTTTTTCCCTCCCTTCCCCTCTCTTCCTCCTATCCTTCTTTCCTTTACTTATCCTACCATTTTTTCTGACTCCCAGACCTCTATGATTCTCATCCATAAAATGGGGATAATGATAGTAACTACCTTCTAGGCTTTTTGAGGGGATTAAATGCATTAATACATGCAAAGCATTTAGAATATTCACTGACATAAGAGTGTTAAGTGTTAACTATTATTATCACTTCCTTTTCTTTTTTCATTTTCCTTCAGTAAGTCCTTCCTCTTCCGCTGCTGGCTCCAGTACTGCAACTCTACCATTAAGCTATGTCCCCAACACTTTTTATTTTTCATTATTTCATCTTGCTAAATTGCTGAGGCTAGCCTCAAACTTGCAATCCTCCTGCCTCAGTCCCCTGAGCCTGGGATTAGAGACCTGTGCCATCATGTCAGTTTCAATAAGTCTTTTTTTTTTTTTTTTTTTTTTTTTTTTGTGGTGCTGGGGACTGAACCCAGGGCCTTGTGCATGTGAGGCAAGCACTCTACCAACTGAGCTATATCCCCAGCCCAAGTCTTTTTTTAAATCCTCAGACCCATCCAAACTGGTTGGGTATGGTGCTATATCAATCATCCTGGGACTGAAATGCTCAGCCAAGATATAGTCAATGGGAACAAGATCAGTGCTAAGGCCAGGCATGGTGATGCACGCCTATAATCCCAGCAGATTGGGAGGCTGAAACAGATGATCTCGAGTTCAAAGCCAGCTTCAGCAAAAAGTGAGGCACTAAGCAACTCAGTGAGACCCTAATCTCCAAATAAAATATAAAATAGGACACACACACACAAAAAAAAAATCAGTGCTACTATAAGTGTTAAAAATATAGGGAGAGGGGCTGGGGATGTGGCTCAAGCGGTAGCGCGCTCGCCTGCCATGCGTGCGGCCCGGGTTCGATCCTCAGCACCACATACCAACAAAGATGTTGTGTCCGCCGAAAACTAAAAAAAAAATAAATAAATATTAAAAATTCTCTCTCTATCTCTCTCTCTCTCCTCTCTCACTCTCTCTTTAAAAAAAAAATACTGGGAGAGGGCTGGGGTTGTAGTTCAGCGGCTGAGTGCTCACCTCATATGAGTGAGGCATTGGGTTCGATCCTCAGCATCATACACAAAAATAAATAAATAAAACAAAGATATTGTGTTTTTACAACTTTGAAAAAAGTTTTAAAAAAATACGGGGAGAAAGCTAGTAGCTGCAGGATGGAGGAAGCAAGAAAATCTCTGTGAGGCAGCAAGATCAAGACGAGGTTAGTCTAGAAGATAGAGAAGCAGGGAGAGAATGGTACCATGCCCAGGCTGCAGGATGGAGGAAGCAAGAAAATTTCTGTGAGGCAGCAAGATCAAGACGAGGTAAGTCTAGAAGATAGAGAAGCAGGGAGAGAATGGTACCATGCCCAGGCACTAGAGCCAGTCAGTGTAAATGCTATGAGAAGCCAGTTAAGAGTGAAGGTTCAGAGCTCAGGCTGCCCTTGAGTCAGTGTGGGGAGGATGGAGGGGATCATGGCATGCTGTGTGGCCAGTGGCGTGAAGGGTCTGGACTAGACCCTTGCCAAAAAGTCGATATTGGAGTGTGTGAGACTGAGGTGATGCTATCACCTAGAAGCAATCAAAAGGACAGAAGCCACATTTATCACAAGGTCACAATGCTTGTGCTTTACCTGCTACATTGCTTCTAATCCTTATAATAACTCTGCATGTAGAACTTTCCCAATGGGAAACCTGAGGCCCAGGTAATAAGTGGCAGAGTCAGGACCCCAACCAAAGTCTGTCTATTGAACTGCTGGCTACTTTTCCTTTTCCCTATGTTCTCTCACCTCACTCTCCCTGCCCAGAAGTCATATCACTGGTGTGTGATCTGTCTTCCAGAAACCGTTCCAACCACCAAGATGGCTCAGACCAACCCTATGCCTGGGTCCTTGGGGCCATGGAAGGTAAGCCCACCCCTATCGTGTGGAAAATCAAGGGATCCCACAGAGCAGGGTTGAGTGCTGCTACAGAGAAGCCACCAGGGCTATACTTGATCATGAGACAGTGGCCAATCAAGAAAACACCAGTCCATAAGGGGAGAGTCCACCCAACATCTGGACACTGTCGAAAGATCTCTCAGGGTACCACTTGTTAAGACAGAGGAAGAATTACCCTGGAAACCCATGATGGGTGAGAGATGATATTTACTTTCTGGTCAACTCTCCTCTGCACTGCTAAAATCATCTCAAAATAGAGTAGCCCAGAGGGGATTATGCCCAGTGAGAAAATTAGAAGCCATAAGTGAAGAGAGATTTGGCATCAGATCCTAAATAAGCCATAGGACCCAGGTATTCTATCAACCTGAGTTTGAGGTTAACCATGGGTTGAAGTGCTGATCCTCAGTCCTTTCCCAGCACTTTCTACCCTGCCCCCATCACTTGTCAACTCTGAGGCTAGTTTACAGCTTCAGGAGTTGTCCTCTGGCCAGGTTCAAGAGCCAAATTCTAGATGAAGGGATCAAGGAGGTTTATCACAACCCTCCCTATACACTTCAGGTTTTTATAGTGAGTGTGGCTGAAGAAGCTAAGTAGTAATCTACAAGGAGCTCCTGGGACTCTCTGAACTCTGGCCTCTGGGCCACACTTATTTAGGAAGCTTTGAAGAGTACACAAGCCCTTTGGTCTGTCCATTGGGCTAATCTTCACCCCTGACAAGAATCTCCTGTTATAAACCAGTCCCCCCACAGATCTTATTCCTATCCTGAGCACTGCATATCACCAACCAGTAGTGTTAATTCAAACCCTTTTCTATCCTGTCTACATCTACACTGGAAGAGACCTCACTAGGCCTGATGGGCTACTGCTGGTGATGGAAAATACAGGATAGACCCTAGTTAAGCTTCTCTTTTTCATGCTGTACCAGGTTCTAGCTTTCTTGCCCCATTCTATCCCATTTCAGATAACCATCTACGATCAGGAGAACTTCCAGGGCAAGAGGATGGAGTTCACCAGCTCCTGCCCAAATGTCTCTGAGCGCAGTTTTGATAATGTCAGGTCCCTCAAGGTGGAATGTGGCGCGTGAGTATGGATCTCAGTAGAATCACAGGCCCCTGTTTCAGGTCCCTTTAGATATAGATAGGGATAGGGGTATAATGTTCCCCAGACACTAATCCACTAGTCACTTCTTGATCTCCATGCATAATTTAGTAATCAAAAGCTAGAAGGAACATGAGGTTTTTAGTGGCTTGGTACCAGATTTGGTGGAGGAGTGAAATTAAATAAATATATACAATCGGGTGGGAGCAGTAACAGTAATCAGGTCCATGCTTTTGTAGCAAACAGGATGCTACCTAGGATTCCCTCAAAATAATTACAGGCCCTTGTATTTTTCATGCCTACAAAATATAGGTAAGGAGAAGAAACTGCCAAGTGGCAGCCTTTTTATGGCAAATTCACTTCATGAATGTCCTAGAAAAGACACTATTATGTAATTTCTCCATATAAAAAGGAATTCAACCCAAGACCCCAGAGACCTATCAGTTTCTAGCCTCCCACAAATCCCTTATTGATGGTCAATCTTGGTGAGGAAGATTCTCTTGCTTTTGTCTTCTGACTCTCAGCAGACTGATCCAGGCCTTTATCATTAATGTGAAAACACACAAAGAGAACTCTCCTTTGGCCTAAGAGAGCACAAGTTCAAGGCAGAACTAACAGGGCTCGGGATATAGCTCAGTTGGTAGAGTGCTTGCCTTGCATGCACTAGGCCCTGGGTTCAATCCCTAGCACCAAAACCAAATAAACACACAAACAAAACCACACACAACAATAATAATCAAGGCAGAACTAAATTTGCATATGGCCAGCATTCCACAAGCTGTTTGCCACCAAAACAGCAACCCTAAAATGGACAACACCTTAGAATGTCATCAGTAACCAAGACCCAATTGTGAAAAACTGAGCAAGGGTGTTTTCAGGGTATGAGGGTATTTTCAGTATGAGGTAGCAGGAGAAAGAACCCACAAAGTAACAAGAAAACAAGTTTAGTTGTTCATCAGCTGCCTATTCATCTTTTGCCTCCTTGCAGATTTGACTGGAGCCAAAGCAATAGTCAGTCACTAGATCATGAACCTGGAGCTCAAGAAAGAGAATAGGTGACTTGGGAGGGAAAAGAAAGATCACTTTGCTAACACACATTACTGAGCCAGTGAAGTAGATCCTTTCAGTGGATAATCTCAAAACAAATGCATTTACAAACCTGCTTAGTGTAGCTCCCAGCTCATTTCCCCCCTTATGATAAATTTATTACTTTGTATGGTTCTATTGGGATTGCTTTGATATTTTATCCATTATAAACTTATTTAAATGAAAGATGCCTTATCCCTGAGACCATATAGACTTTGAATATCATGAATGAAATCACTACCTGTCTTTGGCAGCTGGATTGGTTATGAGCATACCAGCTTCTGTGGGCAACAGTTTATCCTGGAGAGAGGAGAATACCCTCGCTGGGATGCCTGGAGTGGGAGCAATGCCTACCACATTGAGCGTCTCATGTCCTTCCGCCCCATCTGTTCAGCTGTGAGTCTCTGAAATTTCCACTTCTGTGCTTGGGATGGGGACAGAGAGGGCATGAACAGACTACAGTTACTTCTCTTGTTATGCTGAATGTGGTAGGAAGAGAAAAAGTTTAAAAGAGAAAAGAATACCACCACTCCCTTTAAGTTGGCCATTTTCCTTCACTGGTGGTATTTTTTCTCAAGCTAAAAAGTAAGGGTCACAGGCCCAATGCAGTGGCACCTGCCTGTAATACCAACAACTCCAAAGACTGTCAGGAGGATTTCAAGTTTGAGGCCAGCCTGGGCAATTTAGTAAGACACTATCTCGAAATAATAAAAAGGGCTGGGAATGTAGTTCAGTGGTAGAGTGCCTCTGATTCAATCCCCAGTATCACAATAAATGTATGTATGTATGTACGTACGTATGTACGTATGTAAATATGTATGTAAGGGTGGCAGAAGTAACATTCAAGACCAAAGTGCCTATAGGTCCAGTGCAAAAAAAGCACCTACCTTATAGTAGAAAGTAAATTCTTAGCCATTTAAATTTCAATCTAAATATTTTACTGCAGAAACAGGGAAATGCTTAAACCTTTGAAAAAGTGGAAACAAATAAATAGACAAAGTCTTTTAGTATCTTTTTTTTTTTTTTTTTTGGTGCTGGGGATCGAACCCAGGGTCTTGTGTATGCAAGGCAAGCACTCTACCAACTGAGCTATATCCCTAGCCCTTCCAGTACCTCTGATCTGCATTGATTCACAATAATCTTATTTCTAACACTAAGCATCAATCAATAATGCATCTGGCTGCATTTAAAGTCTTTGGAAGATTTCAAACTGAAGCAGGACAACCTTTGGACATGTGTTAAAAAGGATCCCTGTATTGGGAGTAAGGCTTGGCTAAAAAATTTCTAAATACTCAAGTGATTTTTCTGATTTTAATTATTAATGGTCTCCTTAATTCAAAGTCAGACTAAAATACAACTCCTACAGACAGTAACATAAATGACTCTAAACCTAAAAAATACTTATCTGGAACTGATTTTATTATTTTTTTTAGTTCATATATTAGATGCACAGATTCCAAGCGTACACTCTCATGAATTTTGAAACAATGTATACCCCCATGTAGCCAACACCTAGCCATATATATATATATATATAT